TTTCTGAACAGAGGCTGAAGTTCCAGTGCATCCATATTCTGTGGAAATACATTAGAGAAAGCCAGCACGTTGTGTTGAAAATGATGGACCTGTTTTTGGCTCCACATGACTGCAGGGTTTTGTCCATGATCCTTGGACAGGTGAATTGCTGGTCATGTCCCAGAGATGGCCATGTGCACTGTCCTGGTGTGATCATGTTTATGTATAATGTTAATCCTTAAAGAAACTGAAAACCCAGCACAACAGTAGAAGTTTTGCAAATGTTGGAGTGTTTTCTTCACTGATTTGTGCACTTTTCAGGCATTGCTTTATCTGTTTTGAACATCTTCAGAAAGGACAACTCAGTTTATTTTTTGCTGGAGGTGGCATAATTATTGATGTCCTGCTGGAATCTTCCATATATTCCTGTTTTCCTGCGAGTCGAATCCCCCAGGGATTGTTTGAAAATATTAAAGCTGTTTGTCAAGTTGAAAGAAAGCAAAATATTCATGTTGCGCACTAGGTATCCTGTACTTCTTTTACAGAGATTGATAGCGAAATCTCTCAAAAATGCTTTTGTAGTTCAGTATCTGCTGAAGATGGCCTATTTATCATTTAAATTCTTCTGTGCCTTTAAAATTTGGAAAGGAGGGGGGATAATAAATTACCCACCCAATTAATGCTTTTTATTACAGAACAATGTTAGAGAAGTGTGCTGAAAGAATAACGTCACTGGTTTGGTTTCTCCTTATCTTTGTTGTCTGGTAGAAGTAAATAGAATTATTTAGGTGAAGCTACGTAGAAATTGCATTTAAACATGAGTCATTTTAGAAACATATTTATGTACCTAAATCTATTTAGAGGAATTCAATAGGTTTTACAAAATAGTCTTCCTAAAGAATGTGACTAAATACTGTAAGTCAAGAGTAAATCTGCTATACCAGTCAGGTGTGTGACTCCTGGACACCTGTGCAGCAGGTATTTTCCAGTGCCTCCTGTAAACGTCCGTGTTCTGGATTTCGGTGGGCACCTTCCATACAAGCAGGGATTTTCCTCTTGGTTGGGTGTACGAGAGCTGAAGCCCATATTGGCTGTGGGATTGCTTCACTGAGGTTGTATCCTATGAAGTACCTGCAAGAAAAGGGGGTTGGTGGACATCTCTGCATTGTTTGGTCAAATTTTGTGGTTATAGTAGTACAACATCCAAAGTCAAGCCACATGTATGAGATTCGAAGTCAGTGAACAAGAAGGAGATTTCGTAAGACTTATTTTTGGTTGGTAATTGAACATGGTTAATTTGTCGGGCCATTTAGCTGCCCAGTGCATCGCGACAAAGATAGCTACCTTGAGACTTGCAGTATCTATCCTCACCTTTGTGAAAGAGACGAAATTTTTTTAAGGTTGCTGACTCCGGTGTCACTGGTGAGCAGTTCCTCATGGAGACATGCGAGTTGGAAGTGTTGGGAGCCCAGCAAGCTCCCTGAGGCAGCAGTCAGCTCGGCCGTGTCTGCTGGCACCTGGGGCCGAGGCGCGGGTTCAGGGAGCCGCTGCCTGCGGCCATCTCACCACCGAGCTGCATGGCCTGGGCAGGGGAGCGCCCGACACCACTCGGCTTTGGCAGAGCCCTTTCAGCTCCAGGAGGAGAGCACTGCTGTCCTAAATTAGGAGCCAGAGTATTATTCATAGCAGAGTTTAGTCCACCTGTCTCCGAAGGGCTGCTTGCCATTCTGGGGCCCTGCATATAGCCCATGTAGCACGCACTCCCTCACTGCAACCAGCGGCACTGCCTGCTCACCGCCCGTCTCCCCCTGCGCTGCGGTTACCGAGCCAGACCATGGCTGCAGATCATAAGATACTTAATTTATGAGCAGCAAAGCACAATTACATCACCTGACTTCCCTCCTCTGTATTACAGACTTTGCCCAGCCGTCTCTGTATGAAACCCAGGAACTTGTGCGTTTGGCTGCAGGGTAGCTTGTGTTTTCACATCAGTTTGCCTTCCAGAAGTCTCTCCAGACAGGCCTTGCTATCAACAAATGGAGAATCTCTGCATTCTCCTTTTGAGAGCTACGCAAATGGTTAATCACAGGTGATGATGAGCATGTGCTTTATTTCTCATTTGAACTTGGCCTCAGCTTCCAGGTAGTGCTTTGTTTTATAGATACCCTCCTGTGCTAGATTAACAAGCCAGTTGGTACTTAGCATTTTCTTCCCATGGAAATACTTACATGCTGTAATCAGGTCATCTGTCTTTTTTTTTTTCCTTCTTTTGATAAACTGCGTAGGTTGAACTCTTCAAATATTTCATATTAAAGTATTTTCTTCAGCCCTCTAATCACTTTTGCAGCTGTTTTCTGTGATTTCTGTTTTTTTTGCAACTTCTTTCTAAACTGTGGAGATCTGAATCCACAGCTGGTTATCAGATGTAAACTAGCATTGCCAATGAAAGTCTAAAAAGCAAAATGTTAAGACAAATTTTCCTTCTTTCTACACTGTTTATTTCAAAGCTTATATTAGCTCTTACTGCAATATGAAATTTGATTTTAAGAAACCTTTTTTGTTGAGTAAAGACTTATGTGTAGGGGCATCTGCTAGCAAAACAGGTTATTACAACCATCCATGAATGCTCTCACCCAGTTGTAAAGGAAATCTTTAACTTTTAAGTGTCACTGACACTTGTGGATAATAAAACTTGAATATATATGCAATTTCTTTTTATCTCCAAGTTGTCTCTTTTCCCTTGCTTCTTTCTTGCAGATCATTAATTTACTTGACTCTAGTCTTAGTACAAAAGCGTTTTCAAGTAGAGAGCTAGTGTAAATGCTTCTACCAAAAAGTTGTCTGGCGAGGTAACCAAAACCAGTCTTAGAATAGGATTTGAGACTTTTCCAGCCTGTGTGACCTGTGCTACCTGATACCTTCTGTTTGTCCATGGGCAACATGGGTAGATGACAGGCCTCCAAGGGATTCCAACACTGATAAAAACTGCTGGGGCCTGGAGCACGTCCCCTGTGAGGACAGGCTGAGAGCTGGGGCTGCTCAGCCTGGAGAAGAGGAGGCTCAGGGAGAGGAGGCTGAGCCATGTCTATAAATGCCTGAAGGGAGGGTGCTGAGAGGATGGAGCCAGGCTCTGCCCAGTGCCAGGACAAGAGGCAATGGGCTCAAGCTGCAACACAGGAGTCTCCCTCTGAACATCAGGCAGCACTTCTGTGCTGTGTGGGTGGCTGAGCTCTGGGATCTTCCTCCCTGGAGATCTTCAAAAGCTGCCTGGACGTGGGCCCGGGCAGCCTGCTCTGGGTGTCCCTGCTTGAGCTGGGGATTGGACCAGATGAGCTCCACAGCTCCCTTCCCACCCCAGCCATGCTGTGATAAGGTCATCCAGTATGTAATATTGTTGAACAAGACAAGTGAAACCATAGTCCAGCCAATTTAGGAGTATAATTAGGACAGAAATAATTAAATATATAGCTCACATAATACTTCAATTTACATTGCTGTAATAGGAGCCTGTATCTGGTATTTTACGATACCCACTAAACTATATGAATCCTGCAGAAGCCTTCAGCACATGAGTCAGTTATTTCCCTGGTATTTCTCCCCAGAGCAGCCCCTATGCGTTAGCTATTGTTGCACCCCATAATGTCAGAGTATTGAATAGAGTTAATTTTAATATACTAATACTCTTAACAATTTTACCATAAGACATGGAAGTTGTAACAGCAAAATCCTCTAATTGTTGCTGGGATTTTCAGATTGCACATTTACACAGAGCTGTATTTTTTGAATGTATTGTATTTTGCATAAACATGACATGCTCCACAGAAAAATTAGAAGGAAAACAATTCCAGTGTCTTCTGAGAATTAGATAGGCAAGCGTATGGGTAGCCAGACAGATGGAGGTTCATACGTGTTCAACAGACAAACTCGGAAAACATACAGGCTTATGGCTGATGATGTATCATGAATAATTTGTGATGCTTAAATAGTCATTTCTTGTCCCTTGTATAGTCATTCAGCTTGGATTAGAATAGGTGTGTGTCTTTCTCATGTGAATAGTTGTATTTGGTTAGATGGCATACTTGTCTCACAGTGTTGTATATGAGAACATGTTGTAGTACTGCAGACTGAGAATTAGAACTGGATTTATGAAAGCTTCTCCTGATGATGTTTTTAAATATGCTATTTATTAAATTGACTATATTATAAAGTGATCCTCAATGTATAGTTTTAAAAGCTGTTAAACATTTGTGTGGAAGAGCATAATTAGTTTAAGAAGTCTCTAAAGAATATCTCATTTCACTTTACAGCATTTAATTATTATATTATATAGAAAAAACTGAGCATAAGACGTAAGGCTTGAGATGCAGGAGTAGGAAGATAGTTAAGATACATTGCAGTTGAATCACAGAGGAAATGTGAAATAAGGATTTACTCATCGTGTTCGATGGCAGGCATGGAAAAGTCTGTAAATAGGTTTATTATTGCAGAAGAATGCCGGACTATCTTTCATGTTTGATTTTCACAAATACCTTCTTTTAGACCTTCCCCCAAAAACTTACAGGAAGGTGAATTCTTTGGCCTACTTACTTCTTTTTGCACAGAAATCAGTTTCCACTGGCATTTTTCTCAGAGACAACTTTTGTGTGCTGCTGTGAGGCAGTGAACCAGCTTTTCAGTGCTGTGTTCAACTGTGGTTCCCTAGCCTGTCAGCTAGATGAATTTCTTGCTGATGTTTGATCAAAGACGCTGGAGATTGTTGAGCCAAGTTCAGTGTGCATTAGGTTCCTGGAAAAGTGCACTTAGCTTTGCAAAGCACTTGAATGCTTTGGGTCACTGGGTCTTGCTCTTTCCCTCTCTCTTTCTGTCACAGATGGTGTTTTTTTTCCTCTTAGGGTTCTGCCAAAGCTCCTAACTTGGGAGACAGAACATTGGCGAATGCCAAAAGAGCAATGGGTCAAATGCTCTTGTTTCGATGAGGCGATGCAAAGCTGCTTGACCGGTACCTCTCTCTCTTATTGCAGCCCTCTCCGCTGTCAGATGTGGTGATCTCCATGGTAACTCAAACCCCCAGATTCTTGACAGCAGCCTGCGAGGAGCAGCATTCAGCAGCTCAAGGGTCTCACGACCAGGTAAGCCAAAGTACGCGCCAGGCATGAGCCTGCCTCGGGAACACAGTCTCCTGGCCAGCTGCCTTTCAGATTTTTTCATGGTGAAACCACACATGCAGCTCAAGCTTAGCAAGTTAATTCCTATGCTTGTATCTGATGATAAAGTTTTACCAGCGCTATCATTCAAGGGTACAGCAATCCAGCCCTCTCAAACAGAGACATTTGACAAAAAGTCTACATTTACTCAGAGACGACTTCTAAGCTACAGACTGAAGAGCTGCGATGTAACAAAACAAAGTGCTTTATGATTCTTTAAGTGGCGGCTGTGCTAAGTAATTGCTTTGGTTGGAAATAACCCCAAAACACATCTGCATTAAGATCTGTCTTTCTGCTGTACCCACACTGCTGTCAGTACCGCTCCTTCCCTGACAGGAGGTTTGAGCTCTCTTAACCTCCTGGAATCATTTGTAGAGCCTATTTGGGTGTTTATGTAACCTTCATTGGTACTCTGTAGCCTTTTGAAAGTGTTGTTTTGCTCTTTACACACTGCTGCTTTCTAAATCCCTCGCTATGCTAATTACAGCATATGGGGTGTTCTGGTTAACATCGTAAGGAGGTACAAAATTTTTCTTTTTTTTTTTTTTTTTTTTTTTTGTGAATGATGGAGAAAATGTCAAGAAAAAACAAGATCCTTCCCATTTGGGGAAAATACAGGGGACTATACAGCTGTATTCACTATTCCAGTATCCCTAATGCTGTGAACAAAAATAATATCTCTGTTCTTACATGTGTGGAGGTTTTATTAACCCTTTTTGTCATAAGGTTTCACTAGCATTTGTATTACATTGTTTCTGTGACATGAAAATTATATTATTATTTTTTTAAGTCCCCAGTTTCTATGCACCATTCTCTGGGTATGACCTACTTTCTTTCTTGAAAGCCCACATGGCTATAATACACTTTGCCCATCCTATGAATTGATGCACACTGCTCTGAGTAAACACTCTGCTACCCTTATTAACCACTGTGCCACCTTCTGTGTCATAACTGCTATCAAGAATATTTTATACTTACTTTTGTATCAGTGATTAGACTCAGCTAATGTTGAGCTAGTACTGGATGATTTTATTGGGGAAGTGTAGAACACTTTTCTTCAGTTATTATTTTCTGTCAACAAGTACTATTTTTTATCTGTCTCCGTCTTAATCCATTTAACTCACATTTTGATACAACTGATAATACAGAGAGCAGATTTCTTAATCTTGAATGTGTGGCTGTAAGCTACATGCCTTTCAAAAGTATCTGTGTTTCACCTATGAAGTAACTTTTTTTGACCAAAATTCATAACTTTATCAGATGATTAAATCCCATCTGCTGTATTGACCAATTTGCTATAAAATGTTGTTGACTGGTGTTGACTGTTTATTTGTATCATTTCCCAGTGAATTTATACTTTATCACTTTGTCAGTTGTTTTGCCTGAGATTAATAGTGGCTTAGAGCTCTGTAATTACTGATACCATACCGTTTACCAGCTTCAAATATTGGCAGAAAATGCTAGCAGTCTTACTGAATTTCTTTGGTGTTCCATAATGTATTGAAAATTAGCGTCATTGAGATGATACTCTCTCAAACACTTTTAAGACTCTAAAGCACAAATTATCTGGGTGTGCTGATTTAAAGTTGTCTTTTAACATTCATTTTGGTTACTAATGGCCTCCTCATCTGTAAAAATGCTTTTTTCTACTTTCAGAGACAATTTTTTTTTTTTTTTTTTTAAAGCATAACATGTTTATATTCTGTTAAAACATAAGTCAGAAGTTGGAGACTATCAGCTGATAATTTCCTATTTAAATTAATTGTATTTGAATACTTTTTTTAGCAAGTGTAATGTGTATTTCAATCTAATTAGGGCCTTAATGCAGGACTAAAGTAAGCTTTTTGCCACAGGTTGCCATTTTTTTGGTCTGTTTTAGTAGTGGCTTTGGCCCCTGCTGGTAGTGGGGTAGGGAGAGTCCTTCCACATTTTCATCTCTGTACTTTCTCTCAAATGTATAGTTTTCCTCAGGTTCACAAGGCCAATGAGCTTCCATGATTGTGATTAACCAGTCTTTACATGCTCAATATGCAGGTTTAGAATGGAGTTATCCTTTTGGTGTTTGAAAAAGTATTTTAGGAACAAAATTTAGGAGTGGCTGATATTTTACTACTGACTGCATGTTATTTCTAGATGACATCTGAGATGGAAATCCTTTGTAGTTATTTTCATGTTTCACAAATACATTCATAAGGAATAGATGACCCAGTTTTCTGATACAGTTTGGTAGCTTGCTTTATCTCATCTTACCAACAATATATTCTCCTGAGATCTCCTAGTTTATTATCTATGTGTATTCAGGATCTTAAGCCTTTGGTTTATCAATAATTTGGGTAGATAATGGTACCATCAATGTGGTGTATCATCCTCTATTTATTTTTTCCTTGCTTTGTTTAATAACAAGTTTTCCTGAAAAGTTAAAAAATACAATTTCAATATTTTAATTGTGGAGATCTCCCCAGTAGTTTGAAGCAACAGCAACTATACAAAGTATCTCCTTCAAAATAAAAATTTACAGCCTTGTTTGCTGGCTTCTCAGGCCTCTGATCCTTCCCTCCACAGAGGTTGCCATATGTAAGGCTGAGTTTATACTGCATTTGTTTCTGTAACACCTCACAGTTTACTTTAGAAGCCTTTTGCCTGCCCTAGCTCATCCTTATCCGAAGACAGTAACCACATGTCACTGACATGAAGCTTATTCTGTAAATATTGCTCCTTCTCTCCATGGATATGAGTTGCAGTTCCAAAGACCAGAGTCTGTCAACTCTTCACCAGAAACATAGCCAATAATTGATCCTCAGTCTTTTTACTTCTTGTTTTCTGTCACTTAGAAGATCAGGCAGATCTCCAGGACCTCTTTCACGTCTTTCTTTCTGAAATGTGCAGCTGTTCTTACTCTAGCCAGAGATGATGTAAGTTGAACTGACGATATGTGCTTTAGCACTTTTCCAGTCTCATAGTAACACTATCTCCTGAGGAGAATGGCTCTCGCCAGTCTACAGTGAAGATGGAGCCAATATAGGTAGAAAATGTCACGCTTCAAAGAAAGAAGTTGCAGAAGAAATTCATGCAAATTCACAACATCAAGTGCTGTAGAAACCCTTTCTTGGATTTTGGAGAGGTACTAGGAGCAGCTGGTGCAAATCTGCTTAGACAGTTCTGGAGCAATTTCTTACTTGAACCAGTAAGAGGAAACCAAAAAGCTACAGGGTTTTGCATGAGTAAAGCAGATATTTCTGAGGGTCTAAGGAAACAAACAAACAATAAATAAATAAATAAAACTAATTTTGCCACTGTTGTGAGAGCCACTAAGCATAAAGTTAGGTAGAATCAGGTTATTTTGCTAATTCTCATCCCTACTTTAATGAAGAAGAACTTTGCATTTTGTGTCTTGTTGTCTTCATACATAATGCTTCACAGAAGCAATCAGTGAAGAGGATCTGTACTCTCTCTTATCTAAGTAACCTTTCTTAATTCAGGGGTCAAGTTTTAGAGACAAAAGAGAAGAGCTTCTCGAGTCTATTCCTGTTCTGCCCTTAGTGTAGTACTCTATGCCTGTGCGCTGTACAGCTTTTTCAGCCTCCCCGGGGTCTGTTCCTGCATCTAATTTTGACGTTGGCTCCTTTGGCTATGTAGAAAATGTTGCAGTCTTATTTATTCCTCTGATTCATTACAAAGGTGTAATGTTATTTAGCTATTAAGCATAAAAAATCAGTAAGATTTTGCAAAGTCAGTAATCGATTGTTAGTGGATCTACCCTTTTGCCTGGTATTGGACTACAAAAGTTTTTTCAGTCCTGTGCTTTAGTACTGCAGTTACACAAACACAGTTTCCATGTTGGGTGCCAGACCACTTTAGTATCTTCTACTAGGTAGCCACTGAAATTATTTCCTGAAGTTTGTAGTGGCTTTTGAAATTCAAGGCTAAAATCATTATCAAGAGTAACAAAGAAAAAAGTGTTTTAACAAAAAAAAGTGTGTTGATTTTGTCACATGCATTCTTACTGGTTATCACTCTATTATTGATATGATGGGAGTGGCAAATGAGGTCATGTGTGATGTGTTCTATGAATGAATATGGTAGATGTGAGAGTATGAAAAATTGGGTAAGATCAGTTAGAAACAGTAAGAGTATGCATACCATATCAGGAAGAAAGAGACAAACCTTTACTAGATTGATGCTTATTGCATTAATTAGTTTCTTTGAATTTAAGAACTGGATGGATAGGGCATAAGTGAAAGATATTTCAAGCATATTAGTAAAAAGGTGAAAAGTATAATTAGTAAAAAGGTTACAATGGTAGAAAGGGGTCCTGTTGGCAGTAGATCCTACCAGTTCATTTCGTAGATCACTTAGACTTACTGAACTACAACATTCAAGCTACTTTCAAATAATATCCTTTATAATGTTATTCTTTTTTTTTTTTTTTTGGTAAAAAAACTGTATATTGGTTTTGATTTCTAAGATTGCTTTTCAGATAGAGCCACCAACTAATTCAGAGCCTGTGGGCCTACACGAGAACTTCTTGCTTTGACTGCTCAGTGTTCATTATTTCTTATTCTGAAGTTATTCTTACAAGTCGCTGTTCACTGAAAAATAGTGAACTGTTGGCATAATATTTTTAAAAGTAAGCATATTTTAAAATAACATAGAAATGTAAAGGATGTTTATTTTTATCATTTGTGGTTATTTCAGATCTAAAACTGTGTTATGTTTGCATATTTCCTGATACTGCCCTTGCTATTTGGTGCATCAGTTTACTAAACTCTTTTTGTTCATGAAAATATTATTTGATTAGTTTGTTGGTTTTTGTTTGTTTGTTTGACCTTCTAGATCAGTCAGAAGAAAGTATATCTTGCTAGAACATAAACATTTAGGGTTATGGTTCAGTGGTAGGGGGAATGGTTGGACCAGATGATCTTGGA